GGGGAGGGAATCTAAAAACATTCTAACAGGAGGGATAGTATACAACTGCATGATTAGAGCAAATAATGTTTTTGTGGCTGTTTTCAACAACCCCTCCTGTTCAGTTTTAATTATTATGCCTCTAGGACTCCCATGATGCAAACAGTGCCATGTAACAGGTTGCCTTCCTTTGGAGCCTGCAAAAAATAGGGCACTTGCCTCAAATCCTTTAGTAACAACAGCACAGGAAAAGAGAACTTAAAAGGGATTTCAAAACACTTTCTAACCAATAAGACTCACAAGGGCTTTTGAAGACAATTAATTCAACAAACTATCATGAATAATACAGGCTAACAAAATGCCTATTCTTGCCCTACCCATCCTACTATCCCCTGGATTAGCCAGACAGGTGGCAGTTATTTTACAGCTGTGTTTTGATATTTTACAGATGTGTTTACTGCAGTAGATATCGTTGTTCAGGTAGGATTGCTATTATATTTTTTTTCAACTGCAGACAATTAATTCAACAAACTATCATGAATAATACAGGCTAACAAAATGCCTATTCTTGCCCTACCCATCCTACTATCCCCTGGATTAGCCAGACAGGTGGCAGTTATTTTACAGCTGTGTTTTGATATTTTACAGATGTGTTTACTGCAGTAGATATCGTTGTTCAGGTAGGATTGCTATTATATTTTTTTTCAACTGCATTACCTGTAATGCTGCCCTTGGTCCGTCTGTTTGACAGTCATCGTTCCCCCACGGAGTCAAGGCAAAAGCCACAAAGAAAGCAAATTAAAAGCAACAACAAAGCAATTAACAGCCAGGTATCCACTCCCCAGCTGCAGGAAAGCTGCTGCTGCTGGAACAACCCCCTGTCTAGAAACTAAAGACAGTGGTGAGCAAACCCTGCTCCGCCGCAGCCAATGAACAAGCAGCTCCGAGGTCCTCATTTGCATGGCTGTCGGGCCTCGGCGCTTCCCACCTCTCAGCACGAGGTGGAGCTCTCCTGAGCGCCGGCGAGAAGAAAGGCTCCGGGGTGGGAGGGGGGGAGCTGAGCGCGTCTTCAGCCAATCAGCTCTTTCCAGAGTCTGAACGTTCCAACCCTTAAACACATTGTTACACACTGTGGAACGCCAAGTAGCCCCCTCGATATTTCTGTTGCTATTTGAAAGGCTTTCGCGGTACGAAGAGATTTAATAAAAACTGTCCTTCCATCAACATGCTCTGCTGATGTATATCGATAAGAAGATGCTTTAACATTCAGTGTTCTGGCTGGGGCTGTAGAACATAATCAAAAAATGTTACCTATGTCTGCCCATGGGGAACATTTCCTTTCTAAAAAATCAATCAGCACTTTCAGTGGGTTAATAAAAAGGGCCTTTGCCAACATTTCTGCAGCAGTGTAAGAGGGGGAAAGTGTTTTTAAAATCAACATTCCTGATGGTGTTTAAAAGCAGTAAGTTGTGAAAAAGTCAACATTCGTATTAGTTAGTGGAAAACATTTTTTAAAACATTTCTACTGATAAAAAGTGACACTTTGTGTTTAGATTATTTTTCTTATTATTTGTGTAGTACCTTGTGGTAGACACCACCCATAATATAAGAACGAGGGGCCACCAAATGAAATTAATGGGCAGAAGGTTTAAAACAAATAAAAAGAAGTTCTTCACACAGTGCATAGTCAACCTGTGGAACTCCTTGCCTGAGGAGGTTGCGAAGGTCAGGACTATAACAGAGTTTAAAAAAGAGCTAGATAAATTAATGGAGGTTAAGTCCATTAATAGCTATTAGCCAGGATGGGTAAGGAATGGTGTCCCTAGCCTCTGTTTGTCAGAGGGTGGAGATGGGTGGCAGGAGAGAGCTCGCTTGATCAGTCCCTGTTCAGTTCACTCCCTCTGGGACACCTGGCATTGGCCACTATTGGCAGACAGGATACTTAGCTGGATGGACCTTTAGTCTGACTCAGTCTGGCCATTCTTATGTTCACTTCATAGAAAACAAAAAAGACAAGGCCTTGCCTTAAAGAGTTCCCAGTCAAAGAGCCCAGTCTGGCTCCAGCTGTATTCAGTGGCCAAACTCCCAGTGAGCTCCAAAAGAACAAGATAGGGTCTTAAATCAGCCACATCCAGGGGACAACAATTAAGTTCTAAGAGGCGCAGCCTACCAAACACGTACATATGTGAGTAGTCTCAGTGATAGGGTTGCCAACTCAGTTGGTCCAGTCCAGGAAATTTGGCAACCCTACTCATCAAGGTCTAATGATTTCAGTAAAGTTACTCACATTTGCAAGACTGGAGTTTAAAAGCTTGAAGGGATGATGATGGTGAAATCAACATGCTGCTAAAGGAGAGGATCCTGCAAAAATGCGGAATGTTTTCCACTGAACAGAGATTGCTAAAAAGTGTCCCTTGCAGGATCAGACTCTTAGGGCTTTATCTTAGTTGA